CCTGTGTGTGTCTCTGCTGACTTTCTCCATCAGCAGTACGTTTCATAAACTCACCCGTGATTCAGTTTTCAAGTGCGCCGCATGTGGGTCCGACCCGAAACTAACGTTAGTGTGGCTTTACTTTAAACTTTTATTCAGGTCTTTAGTTTGGTAAATCCACGGAGATACCTGAAAGAGTTGGATCATGTCGGCTGTAATGTGGCTTGCAAAGTAAACTGGAACTTGTCACAGGTGAGTGACATGAATGTGTCGTAGTGTTTGTTTCATCCTCCAAAGGGACTGTGCACTGGTCTTGCTTACAGTGCTAGTATGTGCTATCACTGCAAGGTGGACAGTAAGCTAAAATCTGTGCATGAATAGTACTGAGGGGTGTCAGTGGGTCCCCTCGCTCCAAGGCCATCCACACTTCCTGGGCCTTGACTCAGTCACATCCATCTTTCTGAACCTATAACAGGTCCCCGACTCTGCAACATACTACATTTATCACAGCCTCTTTCAAAAGGCCACTAGAAACCTCAACAGGTCCAGCTAAGTCCTGACTCTTGCAACCAGCATGTACGCTTTATCTGCAAAAGGGAGAATGGAAAACAATTAGGGCTGAGCTTTTGGTTCTTTACAGCATGCAGCTTAATGATCCATTATATGTCAGCTCCCATGTGCTATGACCCAGTCAAACTGAGTTTCCTAAACTGTAGAGCCTTGGGGCTCTGTTAGTAGTTCACTTCACTGGAAGAAAATTCTCAAAATAAAACACCAGTGGTGAGATAAGCTATGTTGTGTGTCTCCCATGTCGATAAGGGTTGTAAAAAACGCCTCTGGGTGGACACTGAATCGCGGTGTACTATAGCTGACTCAGAACGACTTGGCCGGAGACAGGGACAGCAAAGACACCTGCGCCCTTCCAGTTCATTGGGACCCCCGTCAGTGGTTAGGTGGTGTTGGCCACACGCACTTGTAGTTTGAAACTTGACTTGACTTCACATCCATCTCAGTGGGCCAAAAAGTGAGCCGGAAATTCATTACAAATGTGTTTTCTGTAAAGAATTTCTCACTCAGCCCCCGCAGTGACAGCTGCACGGGAGTGATTATTTCCTGGCGTCTTGCCCCACATGTGTGTACAAACACACGCAGAGGTCGAGGCTCAAACCTGCCAAGACGTCAGCCCACGTAGAAAAATGCTACCACGCCTGTCTGACATACTGTGATGTGAACTCACCTCAGGGCCCAGCAGACCCCAGGTGGAGCCTTGTGGAAAAAGCATCTAGACAATACAGTCCAGAGGATGCCTGAGTGAGCAGGTAAGCAAGCCATAGAGAGCATATCAGAGAATGAATATTTTTCTTCTGGATTGAGATGTACAAAATATGGTGCATTCATCAAACAGCACTTAAGAAAGGATCGATTTTCCAACGAGAGGAGATCTGGGAGACGAATTCAAAAGCCTGCTACTATGTCACGCCAGCACCAATTTGTAGGCCAGATTTGTTGGCTGTTTGCATGAGCTTTGTATGAGCATAAAATACAAACGAGAAACCTGGTGAAATCGGAGTTCAGTGCTGTTCAATCCTTTGCATACTTGCATAAAATAGGTTAAGAGGACCAGCAGAGAAGGGCAGCGGCGCCTCAAGCAGTGACCACAAAATCTCTCCAGCAGGCCGGTTTGAACAGGGGACTGAACCTAACAGCCACTGAGCTCATGCCAAGAGAACTGACCCATGCTAAATCAGTTCAGTGTTTCACAGAGAGGGCTGTGGTGCACGGTTTTGTCATAAGACTTTGTGATTGGAATGACAGACTTAAGGAAAGACAAGGGACATGAATACTCTGAAGGTATGCCGCGTCGTAATATCAGTCGTTCGCCTTTTGTTGCATCCAAAGGGGAATGACCACATATTCCCCGATCTGAGGAAGGATCCATCTTTCCATTTGAGGAGCTTTCTGAGGAAGCATGTCGCAGAGCCGGGAACACCTGGGACTTTTTAAAAGGCCCAAAAGGATCATAACAGACAGACTTAAAGAAACATTCCCCACTGTCAGAATGCTCTAACCGTGTCTGTTCAGATCACACAATATCAGATGGTCATGGGTGGAGTAAAGAGACACTTTGCCATGTGGTCAAGAGATGGGATACGCTTAATTGCAATGAGACATTTCTCTCTGTGCCCCTGTGAAGTCTGACATCTTCAAATGGTTCTGCCGCCATCTAGTGGGAACTTTCACTATTGCAGGCAGTATTGACCCTGAAAACCCAGCTCAGACACAACCTGAAGCCCCTCTCCCTAACAAAGACCTGTATGTATGGATGTCAGCAGACGCTGTCTGTGTCCGCTTAGTCTTGTTCTGAGTGTGAAACCTGAGGTCAAATCAGTATTTAAAGAGAAAATAGCTTGGGGTGATGGATGGATAGGTGGAAAGATGGAAACGGAGAGGTGTAGAAGACTGTTATTCTTCTTCTCTTTTCAAAAACAAGCCTGTCTGTCCAGCCGGGGGGAGCACGGGTGGAGCAGTCTGACTCTCAGTTGGATGTTGATGAAGTTAGTGAGAGAAATAACAGAGTCGGGAGGTGAATGACTGACACTGAAAAACACAGCAAGACCTGTCTTTTCTAAGGACCTATAAACAACTGGAACGTATGCTTTGAGTTTAGAACTTTATATCAGCTTCACTATTTAATCTTTTGCTTCTTCCCTTCTTCCTGAGGGCAGGCTGGACTGTTCAAAGCAAATGGCCAAAAGACAACAAGGTCCTCATCAGGAAAAGAAAGGAGGAGAAAAACATGTCATTCTCCGAAACGTTCACAGGGTTCACTGGGTGGAATGGTTCTGCGTTCATGCTGCCTCCATCTGGACTTGGACAGGGAGTACTACAACAGGACGCCACAGAGGTCAACCCTGCCATTCAGCACCACTGAAACCTCCCCAGGGTGCTATTAGGGTGTTGGGTTTTTCTGTCTTGGATTGTCCCACATCAAGGAACAGGAAGGCCAGCTACTGGCTGGAGTTTTTACTGGGCCACCATGAATGACACTGATCCTCTCCATCACATGACAGACGCCCATCCAAAGCCACCGCTGTCACACCTGCTCTGGTTACAGCTCAAAGGACCAGTTTGCTCCAAAGCTATACGCCAGCTTAAACGTCTGCTGATCCGCTCCAGTCTGATGAGTTTATCTACACTGGTCCTTGGTGAGATGATAGAAGATCTATTTGGCAGCCTGTATGACACCTGCTCAGGTTACCAATTCTGTACTGTCTGTTGCAACATTGTGAGACTGTGGTTCTGCACTTATCTTTGTCTTTCGTAAAATGAAGGAGATCAGGTTTTATTGTCCAATGTGTTGCTGCTTTTGTCTTCATGAATCCCTCTAATCTGGACCTGATGCGATCCGTCAGAAGTCACACTGTAAGGCCTGAGTATCATTTTAAAGTTTAAGAACTAGAGCTGATGCAAAAACTAGAGCTGAGTTTCAGTAGTGATACCAAAACCGTACCGTTTACCCAAGCATCTTATCAAAGATTAAGCAAAGAAGATTACAAATCTGACAAGACATTCAATTCCAGCTTTTATAATAGAATCCAATATGATGGGACACAGTTTGGTTGGTGCCAAAATGTTCTATGTACGACCTATGTAAAACCTTACCAACTGCACCTGCGAAAATAGATGACCAAAAACAAGTTGATAGAATAAAGCAAAAAATTGCAAAAAGAGCCTTGAAGACCTGTCCTTTTATCTGAGCCCACTGCCTACTACTCCATAGTCCTGAACCACAGCAGCATCCAAGGTTACAGACTTAAGTTATTAAATACACTGTGTAAAAAAACAGCTGCATGCTGAAGGATACATTATCTTGTTTTTGCATGTTCTTGTGTGCTCACATAAAGGTCAACGGCGGTAGCAGAAAGCACACAACCTTCCAGCTCAAGAAAGAGGCTTCCAAATATTTGTGCTGTGATGCTGTTTAGAAAGAGAGAGGAAGAGTTCAACATGGCTGTAGAGACGGCAGAAGAAAGATGCACTACCATGTGGATTTAAGAGAAATAAT